TTAGTTTTCGTAATGAAAATCAAAAGGGCCAAAATGTGTTCAAATGCGCCCCCGTCCTTTATGGCAGTTTTGAAATGCATGCTGTAATTGTCATCAGTAAAACTGATTTTTCTATTTCGATTTGAAACTTTTCATAAAGACAGACCTTTATAAGAATAGTTTATTTCCGAATCGAAACAACCAAATGATCTGAAACGTTCACTATAAACTATTCTCAATGAAATCAGCCTCTATGGAAAGTTTCAAGTCAAAATTTCAAACTTTATTTTCCTGGTGTTCTTGAATGGAGCCATAGCATTCATTTAAACCTATTGTACAAGTGTAATATCTCGACAGCAATAAGCAAATAGTCTGAACTGTTTTCAATCTATTCATAATGAACCTAGCTTCAACTCAAAAGAGATTTATCAGTTGAGAAACTTCTTTCATGATCTACGGCATGAATGATAAAATTTATGCTATTATAATGACATCATTAAATAGTTTGTAAAATAAGTTTTCGAAAGAGTTTAGTGTTTCTAATCTTACTTTAGATTTGAATGCTGTTTGAGCTTGGTCTAATTCAGTTTTCGATTTTTTAATTTTATCTTGTAATGGTTTTAATCGATGATTAACTTCATCGACTTTTTTCTTAACAATGTCAAATGCTTTTGTAACATTTCCATAATCAATTGCTTTTTCTTCATAATCCTACTCATCGAAAAAGAAAATTGTCAAAGTTCTAAATATATATATATTAATATGTAATAAAGTTTTACACGAAAATATTTGCATTGTGAATATTCAACAATTTTAGCTTCAAGATCTTTTCGACCTTGTATTGCTTGAACATCTGGTTCAAGATGTTTTAATATTTGTTTACATGTTGCTGCTTGATGGAGTGCTTCATTTAAATCAACTTCAAGATTACGTGTTTCTTGTCCTAATGTTTTTAATGATTTATGAAGTAAATAAAGATCTTCTCCACCAATCTATTGATGTATTAAAAAAACAATGTTAAGAAAATAATAATTCAAAACAAATAAATACGAACACATTTTTCCGTATTTTCAAGTAAATCACATTTTGACATATTTGTAAATTCTGCCACTTTTTCTTGTGGTAAAAATTGACATAGATTATCGACTTGTATATGAAGTTTTTTCATTAATTCTTTAATCTATTGTAAAAAAAAGAAATTATTAATTGACTTCACTATGTCATTGACAAGAAGAAAAATTTCTTACAGCTGCTTCTGTAGTTTGTTTTCCATTAAGTGTCCATTTGCTAGCACTATGCATATGAAGTGTTCGATTTATAATCCAATTTGAACCTTTCTCGGCATTAAATCTTTTTTTTTTCAAAAGAAAAAATTATAAATCCAATATGTAATTTTGTTTAACTTACAATTCAATTTCAATCATGCCTTTTTCATGGCCTGTTTTAACATAATCACCAATATTACCAGCTCGGCCAATAACTCGTGGATGACCAGCTAGACCAAGACAAATAGCACATACAATAGATGATTTTCTTTAATAAAAGAAAATTTAGATTCATTTGAAAAATAAAATTTTTTGAGAACATACCCACTACCATTTGGTCCAATAATAACATTAAGACGTGATCCAGGATAAAGTTCAACTTCTTTATATGTCCTAAAGATAATATTGATTAAAAAAATAATATAATTATGAAATAAAATATTTTACATGAAATTTTCTAAATGTATTCGTACAATAGCACCATGAGCATGTTTTTGAGTTGTGCTTTGGGTCATGGTTGTTGACAATGAATCATTTAGATTCAATTGATTTTGAGATTGAACTAATGTCATCTGAAATTATAATAATTGAAAAATAAAATCGACATATAAATGAGGATGTCACTTATAGAAAGAAAAAAACATCTTTACAACAGCAAACACTATTCATAAGAAAGACAAAAACATGTAACAGTTGTGAATCAGTGATTTATATTATATGAGAAAATATCGTTGGATTTGTATCAATAAGGATAAGCTCAATTTCAAAGGATAAATATTTTCAATCAAAAAAAAAGAAATCATTGAATTATCTAAACTTTTCATTTAAATTATAAATTATGAAGAAATCCATCTAACTGATATTCTGATTTCAATCGTGTATTCAACTCATAGTATAGATAAGATCCAAAGAATGGCTATTAAGATAAATACACTTTTATACATTGAAATTTGTTCAACAAATTCATTGTATATTTGATAGACATGCACCGAAGATGAACTTTTCGGTTTGACCTTGACTATGATCATTTTCTATGAATTAATTAAGGACAATAGAAGCCAAAACAAAGAATTTCACACTTGACTATAGGTCTATACATAGTGGAATAAATTATCCAAAAATCAAAGGTTTGCAGACATCTTACAAAAGATGTCAACAATGGTCAGAAATAGTCGAATCTGAACCTTAGAATGCTTCCTATATACTTCAAGAAACACTTGGGCTATTGTCCAAATACCCAACACTGTCTGAACAAGTTGGATAGTTTCCGAACTCAAACACCAAGCTAGAGCTCGGGTTAAGTGCATGCCAAATATTTGATGGCTTGCTATAAAAATATGGATCATGCGCAAAACTATTATCAATATAAATAAAAAAACGATTAGAGAAATCTCTTTCTCTCTTTTTCTGTTATTTGTCTACAGAATATTAACTCAAACTGTAACAACCCAACAAACGTGTAGTGTGTTATGTATCCTCAACGAAAATCATCAGAATGTTCTTCTCTATCTATTATTCATCTCTCTATCTCGTTCTTCTGTTATATGTACTTTGGAAGGACAATATTAGTTTGTCCTCTTTCCATACATATTGTTATTCCTTTCTGTTTGTACTTTGAAATATCATTAGTGTTGTGTCCCTCTCTTACACAGCGTGTTACCCTTTTTCCGTTCTTTATGCTTATCTCATTCTATACGTACTTTGGAATAACACTAGTGTTGTCCAGAATATCTTTCTCTTCTGTTTATACTTAGAAACAACATGATCATTGTACCCTGCTCTCGACCAAAAACGTTACCACAGCTTAAACTTTGTCCTTCCCGGAATTTGTCCTTACACACCATAGTTTTCTTGTTATTGTGTTTACTGTATTCCAAAGGTCGTTATATGCTAAGAAATAGTATATAAGGAACGAGAAGAATACAGTATGATACGATTCTTGATATCTTAAATAAAGTGTTCGTTGAATAACTCTTATACAACGTCTACTACATCAGAAATCGTCACACAAACATAATGGATATTTCTATAACAAGTGAACTATGTAAACAATGAACTTATCAAAATATTTCTTAATTCAAATATCAAAACAGAAACAATACATTCACAATGTATATATATGAAGAAGTTTGTTAAACTCGTTTCTTAGAAATAAAATGATAATCGCATAACATATATCAGAATGTTGATTTGTACTATAAGTAAAATATGAATATAAGCAGAAAGTATTAGTTAGACAGATTTCTTTTTTAAAAATCACCGACACTCTAATTATATTAAAAACAGATTTACACAAAAAAAGAAAGATTCAATTTCAAGTCATACTTCCATTTATTATCACTTATGAAAATCTCAACGTTGTTCAGATTTATAGATTGTTTTCAATTGAATAATAAAAGAATTGATACCATGAAACAAGGATATGATATTACATTTAATAAAGCAGAAAAGACAATAAATCTTCGCGTTGACAAAAACGGCTAGTTAATATAAGTAGACAAAACGATGACAATTTGTACAGATAAGACAAAAAAGAAATAGTTATTTCATTTTATGGTGATTGTTCACGGCGTCGACGATGTCGTGATTCTTCATCATCACTATGTTCATTTCGATGTTTTTTTGAACTAAATAAATAACGAAAGAAATAGAAAAACAAAAGACTTTTATAAATAAATAAAACTTACTGCTTATGACTGTTACGTTCTTTAGTAATTTCTGGTGATGATTTACGTTTTTTTTCGTCATGAGATTTATGACGGTGACGATCTTCTTTGTCTTTCTTTTTTTCTTTATCTTTTTTTGGTTGTTCTCGTTCTTCAACTTCTGCTACTACTACTTCTTCTTCTTCTTCTTCTTGTACAATTCTATTTCACAAAAAAAAAAAACATTAAAATCTGATAGGAAATGAAGAAGTTTTCTTGCTTACGTATATGGTTTACTGGCTAATTCAATTTTACGTCGTTCAGCTTCTTTTGCTTCTTCAGCTTTTTGTTCAGCTATCTTCTTTTTATCGAATTCTCCAATACCAAATGCTTCACGTAATTTTCGATTTTTTTCATCGTTTGCTTGTGCTAATTGATGAGTTTCTTTTGCACTAAAATATTTAATTAATTTCTTAATATTCACACCTATTCTATTCATCCCTTATCGTTCTGATTTTAGAGGCTTCTTAAATGGTTCTTCAAATTTTCTGTGCATCGATGATTTAGCGGTAGCCTTACCAGGTGGAATGCATACAATAATCAATGTTTAGATGTAGATGGTAGATTAAAATCAATGCTCGATTCGTTACAGTTTTCTTCTATTTAATCAATTAATCTGGATGAAATCGAAGCACTATCGTCATCACGTGTGATAGAAAACTCAAAATTTCATTTGAGAGCAAAAAACTACATAAATTGGGCAAATGAACTCAACTATCTTGGATACTGAACGATCCTTTCGATTTGTTGGAGTACTATAATTAAGATTCGACAGAGAGTTGCAATGACCACTTTTCTTTCGAAAAGCAGGCATTACATCTATTTAAATGGTTATTTATATATGTTTTCATTCATAACACAAAAACAACGTGATGACCAATTCTATTCCTACTAAATCGATTTGAGAAGAGCTATGCATTGTCTTTCATAGTCAGAAATCATTTTTTGCGAAACATGATCTCAAAAAGAAGTGTTTAAATTCGAACCCATGCTCACAGACGCTGTTGAAATACGATCAAAGACCGTATATCAATAACGTTTCATTATAATATATGACCTGCTTCCTTATTGTATTTCTCGAAGATAAAGTAAGAAGGACGATGAGGAAATGTGTCTCCAAATAGGTAGAATAAAATAATCTTCCTATGACTGGCAACAGCAAATGTATCGTTTTTCACATTTGAATTCCGCAGGAGTTGCATTAACAACTTTCTTTATAAAATAAATGTTTTAAATATTGGAATAGTTGCCTTATCAGATTTAATGGATGGTGAACTCTTATTAGAACAAGTAAATAGTAGTGAATTTAGAAAACCTTGACTATACAACTAATATCATATTAAAGATTTGTTAGGCATATATCTATCCTTGAAATATTTGTACAATGGTGGATTTTTAACTTCTCTACTTGCTCAGTAATTGATTATAGCATAATTTATTCGATTTGCATAGATTTAAAAATTTTTCGGATACATTTTTAATTTCAGATCTACAAACTCTATCTATGTATTTCAGTTTTTTTTCCACAAGAAGATCTTGGCAGGACTTAAAAAAATCGTAAAAACGTTCGTACTCATGGATCAGCGCAGCTGAGTTATGACTGTTTCACTGAATTGAAAATTCAGCATTAGATATTTACTGAAAAATGAAATAATTGTATCTCGATCGGAAATTTTGCTCTTAAACAAGTTAAATAATTAGTCAAATATTTTGAAAGTATCAGTAGAATAGAATATTCACTTGCCGAGATATTGAATTTTCAATTAAATTGGATTTTTATGGCAATGGATCATTTTTTGAACATTCAATATTTTGATAAAGGAGCATTGTTTTCGACTGAAACTTTCAAGTTTTTTCTACTAATTATTCGATCTGTTTATGGGTGAAATTTCAGATAGAAAATTTAGTAAAACAATCATAACTCGACTTCACAGGGGCACATGGGCAAGTGTCCTTTTAGGATTCTGTTTATCGAATCGAGACCTCATTGAAGACCAAATATGAGCTCAAACGGGGTGTTTTTTTTTCTTTTTGGGTTGTTACTATCCTTCCTTTTTTTCTATTTGCACTGTTAGAGCTTTACCGCCATTAGTGATTAAAAAAATAAAATAAAAATTCAACTTACACAGGACGTCCGAATTCATCATATTCAATTTCAGTTTTTTCATAAAGACCTTCACGTTCAATGAGCATTTTGCGAAATTTTTGTACTTTTTGATTTGTTACTTCTTCATCATATCTTTAATCAAAAAAAAAAAACTTTAATTATTTAATTCAATTTAATAAGAAAACAAAACAAACTTACCCATTGTTTAACATCATATCACGCATTTCTATACATTTGACTTCAATTCGACGTTTTTTTTCATGTTCAAGAATTTCTGCATTACCTTTTTTTTCAATTAAAGTTTCAAGTTTTTTAATATCAGCATCTTTAACATATTCAACACGTTCACGTTTTGTTGGAACAAAAGATAAATTTCTTTGAACATAACCATTTGTACCTGTACCACGTGGTGTTGTTATACCAATACCGTTATACATAATTATTTATTTATTTATCTGAAAACGAAAAACAAAAAAAGAAACTAATCAAAACAAGAATAACAATAAATTAATTAAGCTTTTTTAATTTTTAATTTATCAAGATCACGCTTTTCTATAGCGCGTAATTGTTTCTTTTTCATTCGTTTGATTTTAGTCGGGTTTTTAATCTGAATGTGAAGAAAAAAAAAAAAATTTTTTTGTTTTGAATTAATGAGAACAAAGAATTTTTACGTACAACTTGAACAACTTCACCTTTACGTTCATTAATAAGCCGACGTTCTTTATTTTCTTTTTGTCGTTGTTTTAATTTCTATATTAGAAAAAAATAAAGAAATAAAAAAGAAGAAACAAGAAATGTTTTTTTTTCTTACATCACGTTTTTCGTTTACAACATTCCACATTTGTTTTTCACGAGTACGAGTTTCATTTAAATCAGATTTCATTTTTTTACGGTCTTCATATGAAACCTTGATAGATTTTGGTCGAGAAATAGCAGAAAATCTAATCCGAAAAATTAATTTTAAGTTTTCATATGATTTATTTTACCTTCCTTTATTCATCTTCCAAGTCCGACCACTTTTAGGTTTACCTTTTGGAATAGAATTCAATCGTTCTTTTTCGTGTTTTGTTGATGTTTCTGCATCCATCTGAAATGATTAAAACACAATGAAAATTATTATTTCTTTTTATGTAATACTGGTGATAACATTAATCAATATTTTTCTTCACGTGAGGTTTACGCTGAAATCTATACAAATGAAATATTTACGCAAGTTTGTTTGTGTGTGTCTGTCTCAGTGAGTATTCTTCTAGAAACGATGCATTTACAACCAATAACAAATGATCAGTTTGTGAAAGCTTGATAGAGGGCGTTGTGTTCTTGCTGAGCTATAGTAGATTCCGAGGTTTAATCTTCCATGGAAATACCAACAATTTACAATTTGTTTCGTCCTATTGAGCACAACGGAGTGTGAATATGAGAGTCTGTCTTCATCCACACTTCACCCAGACCCAGATCTAGATACTATCTACATTCACACTCTGTGAATGTTCCCAAGTATTCTGTTATTTGTGTATGATATTGAAGTGCAAGACATTCCTATCTGAATTTTGTATTTCAAGAATAAATGACAAGATAAATTCGATATTTTCGACGTCATACGTGAACCTAAAATAAATTCGTTTTAGAAAATACGTAAATTCTTCTGTAATTGAAGATTTATTTATCATTTGATGGTCATTAATTAATAGTGGTATTATATATATTTACGAATAATATGTCAATAGCAAAAAAACTTTATTTATAAATCAAGAATCATAGCATGAATGTTCGACACATGTTTTAAATTGTATATTTCACATGGTTGTACTCCAACGCTTTCCAAATTGAACACGCATTCATGCAGATCCCTTGAGAGTACTTGTAGTAATTCAGCAGCATTGATAAAGTTTAGGCGAGCAAGTCCATTGACATTATTAATATAAGCTTGCTCAATATTATTTGCAATCAAGTTAAGTTTATTCAAGTGGTTATCCATGTCTTCAGAAGGAAAATCAAATATATAGTTCACAAGTCTTATGTGACCAACAGATAACATACCTTAGTCTTTGTGAAAGGAGAAATTGGCTAAGTATTGAATAGAATGTTCTAAAGTAGCAGAAATATACTCTAACTTTAAAATACATGGCTTTTTATACGTTTGAGGGGACCTAGCGTATTTTATTACGAACACTTTTTTCTTCTTCTTGAATGACTTCGTACATTAGTATTTAATATTGGGAGCCTTACGTCTACGTCTACAGCTACGTCTACGGTCTTTATCATTACCTGTACTGCAGTAAGAAAGTAAATATTGACTACTCATGAAAAGTTATTTCTCCTCTGTCTGTATTTTTTCCAACATCAAGTTACGTCAAAATGAGGCATCGCTACAGAGTAGATTGACATTACAGCTGATGACAAGTTAAAAAAATAATTACATCAAACATAAACTGATTGTAATTCATGATTCACAAATGTAGAAAATACAATCAAGTTCTACAGTAGTATATTTCCTTAGAAAACAAAATTTCAATGGATAAAGCTAATTTAATCAGCTATAATATTTATCTATTATGAGACAAATTTTGTATAAATACGCTTTAATTTACCTATACATCGTCATTTTTACATTTTCTGTATGTGGTACATAACATGAATCATGGTTTTTTTTGCATTTCTTTTTTTTCTATTTTTGGTCTTCATAACTGAGAAACATGTGGACGTTATAGATCAATATTCAATTTAATAATACGTAGGTATCTTTATGAATCATTTAACCCTTTAGTTACCGACAAAAGATAAGCATACATAAAGTACAGTGGCTGTCCATGACCTACGTTTGTGTTTCTTATTACAAGAGTTTAGCATAAGCTGTAACAAAATGATTACGTAGAGAGTTCTTGTTACTTGATGTTGGCATTTACTCAGATGTATCTAATAAACGTACAGTATAAGTGATTGCATTAGTTTCAGGTGATGATTAAGTTTATGACGCATTTATACGCCGTCAGTAACAAAGAGTTAAATGTAAGAATTATTTTGAAGAGTAAATTTGAACGTCTAAATTATATAGTTCAAATTATAATTTTCATGAATCATTCCAACTTATCTAATCAATCTCAATGATCAATAGAAGAAATCATCATGAGTACAAAAGTCTTTATTCCAAACAGTAAAACTTTGTCATAATAATCATAAAATTTTATATAATTGCGTTCAATAATGTCGTCTTGGCTGATTCTCTGATTTAGGATTGAAACCATTGAATATAAACTAACATAATTTAGCAGATAGTTCGAACTATATAATTTCAAGAAGATTTTGATAAAATTATGCTCTATTCGAAGTTAAGAATATTACATACTTTCTATAGTTATATTGAAGATCACATTTATCACAATACATCTATCAATCAGCTGATTTTCGCTATACCTTTGGTCTTTAATTTCGACAATATTTTACAAATGATATATTTATATGCCTCTGCGACATTCATTCAAACGAAAATTTTCTAGTGTTCTATTAATAATTATAGATCTCATTGTTGAGTTACTTGGAAAACATAATAGATAAATGAAATATTAAAAAATGAATATATTTATGAAATTAACCTAACTAATTAGTTTATTTAATGATTTGTTATTTTAAACTAATATTATCGAAACAGATATGTTTAGTTTAATTTTTATAACAATTAACTGATGAATATATATGTTATCTAGTTAATTATAAACTGAATCAACTATGATTAGATTGTCTCAATAAATACTCTATATACAGTGGAGTACAAAAATAATTGTCGTTAGTATTTAATAAAGTTACTCTACTCAACATGATGAATATTGAAAGTTTTTTTATAAATAGATTATAGATACACAAGAGTACATAAATATAATAATCAATAGTTAGCTCATTTTCCCTTCAGCCAAAAAAAGCAATAAACACTATAGCTTCATCGATACACTCAAATAGCTTCGGATAGTTTTTCATGTGTACATGGATTGTTTTCTAGTCTGAAAGGTGTGTTTGAAGAAGAGTGAAAGAAGCTATGAACCTCGTTTTGAATCAAGATCCTGTTGCCGAAGTTTCAGCTCGATACGATGTCTTCTCGATTTTTAAAGTGGAAAAGAAATGCAACACACACCTTCTCAACTTTTGACCTCAATTTGACGCTGAAGATGAATTTTGAGAATTGTTCCCTTGGAACAAAATTTCATCTACTAGTCGAGGTCTGTCGACTATGGAAATTTCAAGTCGGTCAGACAAGTCATTGTCGAGATAATTTGAAAATCTGGTGGGAGCGCCATTTATTCTGGTAGTTCTACACACCGTGATCTTTCGTTTGTTTTTACGATGCCGTGTCGTTGGAGCTCATTTGCATTTCGTTAGATTCTATGAACATAGACTTTATTTAAGAAGACGATTTTCGCAGCGCTACGATTGTCTGATTGTTTGATATTCTAGAAAAGCGGTGGAGACTCGAATCATAATGTCTCTCGCTCTACCGAACGACACTTTTTGAGGAGTCCCGCTCTGATTAAAATCTATAGCAGCACATCCTTGATTACTGATAAAAGTTTCAGAAGAATCCGTTCATGCGCTTCACAGATATGACTCGAGAAAATGCGTAACGTGCAACTGCAAATTTTTTTTTTTGCACTCTACTGTATTTTAATTATTGATATTTACTCAATGAACGATCTTTTATTAATATGAAATCGATATTTAATTAATGAAATATTGGCTCTCTTTTTATAACTATTGTAAATTAATAAATTATTTTTCAATAATAAGAAAATTTTCTTGAATCGAACAAAAAACATTTTTTTTATTCAGAAATATAATTATATTCTAATATGAAATAATTTTAGTTTATTATTAAGAAAAGCTGCAATTGAAGAAGAATTATATGGATGTGAACAATCAATAATAACTTGTAAAGAAGCATTACGTATTTGGAAAAATGAATATGAACCTACTTTAACAAATAATGTTCATCATTCTCAAGGAATAAGAAATTCAAGGTTTGTTTTAAAACAAAAAAAATTTGATTAAACAAAACATTGTTATGTTCAGTAGTGGAAATTGTCCAAGTACTCGATCACAAAATGCCTCAATAAATTTTGAAATTGATGGTAAACAAACAGTAAATAGTCAACAAGGAACATTAAATAGTTGAAGATGGAATTAAAAATTTATTTTTATTCGGTATTCGACCATTTTCACCATTAATTAATGATGAAAATTCAATGAAAAACAATCGATCATCAACATATTTTTTTCTATTCAACCGATTTATTTTAGTTTAATTCAAATATTTGAACATTTAGGTAAAAAGAAAACACTTGGTTTTTTTTTGTTTTTCATTAATTTATTTTTTTATTTAAAAAAATGTTCTATATTATATAAAATTGGATAAAGTTGATGAAAGTGAACGTTGTCTTAAAGAAATATCATTGTTTAATTCTAATGATTGACAATATCTTCTTATTGTATTAATATTATATTAAATGAAAAATTCTTAAGTATAAATAATAGTTGAACAATATTGACAATAAATATTTGTTTTATCAAATTAAAAGTTAAATTCTAAATCTTACGAGGGAGGTACCCGAAGTGATCAATCGGTTTTGAGTTCGAACTCTGTGCATAAGGTAGATCCCAGTAAGATATGAAAAACCCCAAAAAGATAAGGGCCCATAGGCCTTTCGTTCAGAGTTATNGATTTTTCACAAGTTTAAAACCCGGTTTTCGATTCTAAAACCTAACTTTTTTACAAAATAAATGTCAAATTCGTAATCAGCGTTAAAAACTGCATCTAGTAACTCATTCAGCTTTGTCCAACTCGAAAAAAAATTTTTTCGAAACTTGATCAGCGAAGTGTCGCGTTACGTGGACAAGCCGAAAAACACTTTCAACAATTCTATAGATTCCAATTGCCTGCAATTTGTTAAATATTGTTCAGTTTTCTTTTTCTAACAATTCAAATAGACAAATAAGTCTTTGTAGAAGAATTCAAAAGAAGTTGTTTTTTTTTTTCTTTCAACTAGTTTATGTAAAGTAATCATAATTATGAAAAAAAAAACATGAAAGTACTCGAACATACACTGCCATGTATGTTTTCTTTATATACTATATGATTTTAATAGTAAATAAAACTTATAAAGAAACCCTCACATTTATCAAAAGGATGTTTGCATAAATTTCTTATGTAAATTTCGGTATGCTATTACATTATTATACATTTAAAATGGCCTCGTTATTTGATATTTCATATGGATTATAACAATATACGTTTTTAGTAAATTACTCAGATATTCATTTCAAAATTAATGTCTTATAAAAATAGATATTACTACGTCAGCTATTTTCATAGTCTTATCTTACCCTTCGGAGATTTTTTTTTATTCTGATCTTATCGTACGTTTTTTTTTTTGGTCGTAATTTTACTCCTATGCTGAGGATATGTTTACCTTACATATCTCTATTGTAAAACACGAAATGTAATAATTAAGCTATTTTAAAATAAGAAAATGAAATGTTTTGCATAAATATATTAACAACAAATCTTTATCGTAAGCAAAATCCACTTGCTATCGATTCATATACAATTGAGTCTTGTCTTCACATTATCTCAATCATGTTATCATAAATATTTTCGTCGAATTCCTCATTCGAAAGATCGATGTTGTAACTATCTGTAGTCCAAATTTCAATAGATATCACTTTAAAAATATTATCTTATCATTAAGAATGTCTGTTAAAGAGCAAACGTTGACTTTTATTGAAATGAATCTTTGCTACGACGACTTTAATCAATTTATTTGAAAATTTTAGTAGAAAGGTCTGATGAGACAACATATCTGTTCTGAAAGTTTTATAACCGCAGTATTGAATGAAGTCGAATGAGCACTGCAAACATAGGTTTAATATCTTTTAAGATATTAATCACTAAAACTTTGACCATGTGTCCTAGGCTTTGACGATATGTAGGTTGACATACGTAACTACCTTTTGCGCTAGAAAAAAAAAACTATAGTAGCTGGTAAAATAACAAAAAGGTCAAACAAATATTTATTGTTTGCATTTTTCTCTTGAATATGTTTTTTATTTCAAGGAAAACAAAAAAATTAATCATAACTCCAATACATTTAAAGTAATCGGGGACATGTTGATGTTTGCGATCAGAGATTTTTGTTGTATGAGTGCATTCAAAATGTCAACTCAATATTATAAAGAAAAGTAGGATTTTCTGGGGGCGATTGTTTTATTATCTAGGGCTTCTTATACGCAATATGTTGGTTAAAACATCACATAGATACCTTGATTTATTGTTTAAAACTTTTTTGTCTAAATCTTAGCCAAGTCTATTATTTTTCATATGTTTTAAAACTCAAGGGTTTTTTCTGCAATTTATTTCTTTGCTGTTAAGGGCAATGAGTTTTGAGAAAATTATAATAATTAAATTCTATTCATACAATAACAATAATTGTAAGGTTACCAAAGTGCATGAATGATTTGTCTAGGCATTTGTTGGTTTTTTTTTATTAGAGCAAAAAATCAAATCAATGAGTCCTACTGAATTATTTCAATCTCGAACAATATATGATAATGATAATCATGAGTCGGAATCAATGCAAACAACATTATCTCAATACCAAACACCAACTTATCTTGCTAAGTAGGAATTTTCACTTTTCCTTTTTGTTTTTTTTTTAATAGAAACAAGATAAAATCTCTATATATAAATTATTTTGTTAATTAACTAGAAAGATTAGGCAAAAGTCATCATGGGGAAGACGTATGCGAAAAATATCGCTCGCGGAGTTTTCCCATTATTTGTGAGTGAAATAAAACTAGAAATTTAATTTTTTGGGGAAGCATAAAAATGATTATTTATTTTTCTTTTTTTTTTTTTTCTAATATGCAACAAAATTGTTTTCATTTTGTTCTTTTTTTACTTATAGACCTGAAGACGATGACGATGATGATGACAATGATATTGTTCAACAACGACAATCAAGAAATGTTTCTTCTGCTGCAAGGTAATTAAAATTAAAAAAAGCATGATATTGTATGCTTATATGCAAATTAGAGTAACTTTGTTCGAATGTGATAATGCTTCTGCTCATAATATGCTTTCGAAATTTGCTATTGGTAATTGATTCAATAACAAAAAACAAATTGTGTTTATTTATTCATTTTTTTTTCAGCAGAATCCGGTATGACTTAATGGAAAACAATGAAACTAAAAGTGATTTAGTATAGAAAATAAAATCATCATCTTTGCACAAAATCTATAAAAACGAACAACTTTTCTTATATATATATATATACATATATATTTATAAATATTATTCTTTGTGTGTTGTATATAAATGAAGTTTTCTTTTTCTCTTTGTTTTTCTTCTAATAGTGACGTTTGTCACTGTTTTTTTTGTTTCGGTCGAATAAACTCTACTTTGAAGTTGTCATCTTGTTAAAATATAAAATACAATTAAATATTGTTATTGTGCTTTTTCTTTTTCATTCATTCTTTCTTTTATTATTGTTTGCCCTTTAATATACTCGCATTCGTTCTTTTCTTTTTATTTCTTCTTTTTTCTTCTTCTTCTAAAGTAAATTTAATGCGAATTCATTTATACACTTGTTTTTTGATTTCTATAGAAACTGAAAGTTATGTGTGTGTTGCTATATGATCTGCAAACACGTATTCTTTTTCTTTTTTTTGTATTTTTGCTCTTTGTTAATGGGGAAAGGTGAAGAATTGAAAGAGAAATGTAAGAAAAAGAAATAGAAGAAGAAAAGAAAGAAGGCTAGTTAGTTGCTGTCAACGACGTCCGACGGTGTTTCATTGTGTCGAACTATTCGGTTGTATTTTTTTGCTCGTTTAATTTCTAATAAATATGACATCGCAAAACGAAGTTGACGATATGATTAAGCGTATACAAACGTCCAAAGGTGTACAAGGTAAAATGATAGATGAGAAGCGTTATTCTATCTAAACCAATTATATAGACTTATAATTTATGTTCTATCTCGTTGCTATTTTCTTTTTTTGAAAAGGATTAATAATAATTGATTCGGAAGGTATACCTATTCGAACAAGTATGGATAATGAAACAACGTTACATTATGCGGCTTTAATTAGTCAATTAACTATTCATGCTAAACGTGTTGTCCGGGAACTTGATCCGAGTCAAGAACTTGAACAACTTCGTAAGGACGACGAATATTTCTGATATTCTACTAATTAAAGATCTATGTTTTTCTAATTATTCATTATAGGTCTTCGTTCGCAAAAGCATGAAATCATCGTTGCGCCTGAGAGTAAATATATCATGATTGTAGTTCAAGTACCAGAAGCTCTTTAATATAATAAATTTCTTTGTGTTTTTATTAATTCAATATAATTTAAAAAAAGATTTTTCACCGGTGTAACATTCACCGACAAAAGACAAATAGAAGAATTATAATGTACGCTTGGCAAACAATATAATCATACTGTAATTGGATAAGAGACGTACAGAAAAATTTGAGAATGAAGATAATAATAATGTGGAGTTAATACAATGAGAACCGGCTCTTGTATTAATTAATCATTACTATTATAATCATTGCTCCTATAACTAACGAACAAGAAAAGAGAAAGACAAAAAAATTGTCGATCCACGAACTGTAAAGAATAGAAGAAAGAATAACCGAAGACGAAGAAAAGCCAAGAGTTTTTAGAAAACAAAGTTTAACGATGACATTGTAGGAGTTAATAAGCCATATTGTGGATCATTGTTTATACCGAATACATCATTTATGTCATCGATTGACGGAAAATCATTAAGTAATTTGAACTTCTCGAATTCAGTTATATTATCAAAAAATGAAAGAAATTCATCCATGCGACCAACTTCCTGTATTGGTGATGCTGACGATGGTAAACTATCTGATAAACTTATATGTGATTCAGTTAGATCATTATTTAATTGAGGAGGTTGTTGAGCTTGATCCATGGCATCGATTGGTTCACTTTTCATAGCTTGATAATTTGTTCGTCGGCGTTTTCTTCGTTGTGGTAATATTGGTACTGGATAAACTGTTGAAATTTCATTTAAATTTATACATTGTTCAGTTTTAGCTGAAAAAAGAAAAGAAAATATTAAAAAAAATATACAATTAAAGATGAAAATTATTTACTTGATAAAAGATTTGTTGTTGCTGAAGCATTTAAATTTGTATTCGACACAAGTGTTGATTCTTGTTGTGCAGTAGTTTTTAATCGTTCAAGATTTTGTTTATTTGCATACGCAATAAATTCATATTGTGCCAATGGACTACAGAAAAGAAAACAATAAAGAAAATTTTTGTTCTTTTGTTTTTGTGATTTCTTTTCATATTAAATTAGTTTCTTACTCGATCAATTGTGCTAAAAATCCAATCTTCATTGCTTTTCGTCGACCTTCAATTAACATATAAGTATTGCAAAGAAAAGTAAGGCGATTGCCATCACGAGTAAATAAATCAAGTACATTCATCGTTGTACAATGTTGACCTAAAACTAAAAAATAATCATAATTAAATTAAGAAAAAATTCTTTTTATAAATTAAATCTTACGACAATGCTGTCGTGCTTCTTCTAAGATACTTATGTGTTCAGTAGCTAACAACCGATTGATTGATTGATCAATTAATTCTTCAGCTTTATAACCTAATAATAATTCAGTACTAAAAAATCAGAAAATATTAATATAAAAAAAAAAACGATTGAAAATAAAAAAGAGAACTAACTTTGATGATATTTCACTGATATATAATTGATCAGTGAGTGTAAGTCGAAGTGTTTTTGTACTTGTTGAACCAATATTATTTGTTGGAATATTTGGTATGTTTGAAAGAATTTGTTCACATCGTGCAATAAATAATGGTTCGTGTTGCTCTTTATTCTCCTCATTATTGATAAAAAATAGACGACCTGTCATCAACATTGTCTAATAGAACAAAAATTTGTTATTTTCACCTTTTTGATTATTAAAATTTATTTTGAATTAGACTTACTTTTGTTTCAATATGGTTTCGACTAGGTCGTTTTCCACGTGGTAAATGCCATGTACAAACAACTCGTTGTTCGACATTTGTTGATGTTGAAAGAACTTGACGAATAGATGCATGATCCTCTTTACTGACAAAACTATAAATGTTTGTCAATTGGGGATAGAGTGAACGCTTAAAATACAAAAAAAAAACAAAAATATCATAATAAAAAAAAAGTTATTTTCTTATTAATTTCTACATACAACATTTTTACGTAGATAATCTTCAACATTATCACTCATTAAGACTATACGACCACTTGTATTTAATACAATAATAAAACCATTAAGGTCATCTTCCATAGAATAATTTTCAATGCCAGATGCTAATTCAACATCTCCTAATATATAGATCAAATAATTAGTTTTTTTTTTTTTTTTATTGATTTGTTTTTCTTTTGATTAAACTTACTCTTAGGCACATTAGAAGGCCAATATTTCTGCCTAAGAAGGCGAGCCAGCGTCAAACTAAGTATGTCATTTTTATTCAACTTATCCTCAACATCATCAATAGAAAGATCTTTGATAAGTTGACCTAATGCTTCCAGCGCTTGATTTGTTTGTCGACGTCGTTTATGTGGTGTACTGCTGCATTCTGTCACAGAATTTGCAACACCATTAGCTGTCAACAATGAACGCTACAATACAATGATTCATTTATAATCATTGTACAAGAGAAAAAAAATACAATTTACCTTGAGAGTACTTTGACGAGACATGCGGTCGACGCGGAAGTCGTTCAACGACAATTGTATCTTCGAAACTGCCAGCAGTTGAAGAGTGTACGAAAAACGAAGGACTAGTGCTTATAAAATATGCGCACGCGCTGTAGCAATGCAAAAGAAAAATGACGATAGTCAAAGATTGTAAAGACATTGCTCCTTTTCCCCCTTTTCTCTATTTCTCTCTCTCTCTGTGTGTCTCTGTTTCGGTTGGTCTCTTGTAATTTTTTTTCTCTTCTTTTTGTCGTCGGCAATAGCGAGAGATTGTTTTTTTTTATGTCGTCGTTGTTTTTATAGGTCTTACCTGTAAAAAAAAAATATGAGGCGATTTTTATGTATCTTGTAATGACGTCGACCACCCCACTAGTGTATAATCGATATTTCGTCATATTCCCCTTTCCTTATGTTTGCTTTATGCATAACGATGAAACTTACGAAAAAAATACTACTCGCATGGAAAAAAGTAATAAACTTGAATATTAACATTGCTATGAGTCAACAATATTAATGACTCATTATCTGAAAAAAAAAGCTAACATCCCAACTTGATATCTATCCTTCTATGTTCAGCAATTAGTCAAATGAATTTAAAATGTGTCATAATAGTTTGCGTCACATATATGACCAGTTGGAAAGTTATTTTAAAACAAAATAATCGTCATTTATATATTATTCATATTTATATGTATATATTTAGTAGTATTTCATACTTGATTGTTCTGTAAAAGATTTTGAATTAATATTCTATTTAGAGTACTTTTGATTTCTTAATGTAAAACATAAAATGAAGAACAAACTAAAGGAATGAATAATAAAAACAAATTATAAATATTTTTGATGTAATTTTTATTAGGATGATAATTAAAATATTGATATTGTTGATAGATTAATGGATTTGTATTAATCCGATATATACTTTTTGTTTTTGAGAATTACAATAAATAATTTAAAAAATAAATGACATAATCTAATGTCAAATTTCAAATCTTTTTTAAAGATTAGACTTTACACAAATACTAACCAAGAGTAAATATAGTCAAAACCTTCATTTTACATAAAATAGTTTGTTTTTCTTTTCTTCCTACCGCGACAGAAATTCAACTAGACATTCACAATGATCCTTTTCCGTTTACCAAGTGGGTACTCTACCACATAAAGAAAGCTCTGTGCATGATGACATATGTGTTATGCTTGTTTTATTTGATATTATGAAAGATAAAAAGATTTGAAATACCATAAGTTTAATAGTCCTTATACAAGTTTACTGGATTAATATATATAGATATTAAAGACAAATATTTAACGTTATAGATATGAATAGTCTATTGGTTGGTTGAAAAAAAAAGGAAATAAAATACATTTCAAACAAAAAGATCGCACAAAAAAAGGCATCGATATCATTCTCGTGATTAGTTTTTTTTATCTCATAATAGAATTGATATATGTTTATATATAAGTATTCCGATTTAATGCAAGCAAGATTAGTAGATATTTACTAGAATAAATAACAGAAAGAAAATTTTAGAAAATCAAAAATAAAACCTACCTGTTTTTTTGGTAAATCAACATTAAGTCTCGTAGCTAATTGTTTACCGAAATCATTATCAACATTTGCTAAAACAGCAACTGAACGACGTATGATATCTTTAACTGTACATTGTTGTAAATGTTCAACTATATTTTGTATTAAATGAGCACGACCACGATCGTCTAATACTTTCTAAAAACAAAGAAAAAAAAAACAAGATAAATATTTTGTTTTCTTTTTTGTTTTTATTATTTACTTGATAAAAAACTCTTGGTTGTGTAAAGTTATCATCGTCATTTGCATCGTGTCTTGCAGCCATACCTGATTCAAATGTTGCATGTTCAAGATATTTTTCTGGGTTTGTAACTTCCGGTCCATGAAATGTATTTCGATAATAATTTGGACAACCAACTAGGAAAGGAAATCGGAAAACTTGTTGTGCTCTTAACAATCTTATTTATCTTACAATGATTATGTCCAACTTGCATTGCACCATCACGTTGATATGTACAAACTTTAACATTTTTATTTGTTTCAGGATTATTGACTGGAATAAGATGATGATTTGTTCCCAGGCGATGAAGATGTGTATCAGCATATGAAAAAAGACGACCCTAAGAAATAAATATTAAAAATAGAGATTTTTGTTTGTTTTTAGCTTACTTGTAACATTTTATCTGGCGATGCTTCAATGCCTGGTGGCATATGTGCAGGTGAAAAAGCAGCTTGTTCAATTTGTGCAAAATAATTTTCGGGATTTTCATTTAATGTCATTTTACCAACACGGCGTAATGGAAATTCCTTTTGTGAAAATACTTTTGTTAAGTCAAATGGATTGAATGGCATTTTTTGTGCTTGTTCATGAGTTGCAGTCTACATACAAAATTAATTGTTTTCTCTATTTTTCGGTTTCTTTTTCTTACTTGAACATAAAGTGTCCAACTTGGATTATCTTTTTTAGCAATTGCATTATAAAGATCCGATAGAGCATAATCGGGTTGTTCACCAGCTAAGATTTTTGCTCTTGCTGGTTCAATATTTTTAATACCTTGATCACACTAAGTATTCATTAAAAGAAAAAAAGAAAAAGCACATTTTCAAATATATAAATGAACTGATTTACTCGAAAATGAAATTTAACCCAAACAAATTCATCTTTATCATTAACCATTTTAAATGTATGTGAACCATAACCATGCATATGACGAAATCCATCAGGTACACCACGATCGGAATAAAGAAAGAGAAACTTAAAATAAAAAAATATTTTTTTTTTCGTTTTTTAAATTTAAATTTCTACACGGTTTTTCAGTTACTTGATGTGTTGCTTGTGGATTACTTGCAAAAAAATCCCAAACCATATTTGGATCTTTTAAATGTGTTTGAGGATTACGTTTTTGCGAATGAATAAACATTTGGAACTTAGAGAAAACAAAAATATTTTCATAAAATTTTTTTTTTTAAATAAACATTTACATACTAAAAATGGATCACGAACAAAAAATATTGGAGTATTATTAGCAACCAAGTCCCAAATACCTGAAAACAAAAATATGAGTTGTTTTGTTTTTATTTTTGAAAGTAATTTTTCTAACAAAAATAATCAAACCTTCATCAGTATACATTTTAATTGCGAAACCACGTGGATCACGTACTGTATCAGCTGAACCACTTTCACCAGCTAGAAATATTTCATTAAATTAAACATCGAATTAATTATTTACAAAAAAGAATTGTTCATTTTTTTAAAACTGTTCTGCTGTGCTTTAAACCAAAATAAAATATTTGTTTAGTCATATTAAGTGCATTTAGGTACTGATACATTTGAGAAATTTTTTGATGAGCAAAAAACATATCCTGTTTTAGATCAAAATTTATAATATCCTAGTAGGATGGAAGCTTTTTCGGACTTTACAACTCTATTACGTACCAACTGTGGAAAAACGTGCCAAAACACGTGTTTTTGTATTCTTCTTGAATACTTTGGCTTTACAAATATCTGATATGTCATCGGTTGCTTCAAATACACCGAAAGCACCACCACTAAAAATTCAATGAATTAACCTTTTGTTTTAAATATTATTATAAAAAAACTGATTTACCCTTTGGCATGAACAACACGTTCAGGAATTCGTTCACGATCAAATTTTTGCACATCTTCAATGTAAGGAAAATCAGACAGTAATAATGGTCCTCGTGGGCCAACTGTTACAATTGTAGAACGTTCACCAAGTGGACGACCATAAGCAGTTGTTAACTGTTCAGCTTTCTTTGAATGAAAACAAAAATTCTATTTAATAAAATGCAAAAAATAAAAACAAACTTACGTTTGATTTTTTGTAATCAATTAATTGATTGTCCGATGGGCCTGGTTCTTTTAATTCCGGCTGTTTTGTATTAGCCATTATTATTGATCAAAGAAAACTATATGTAGTAAATGAATACGAAGAAAATGCTAACTATGTGTTTTTATATCATCATGATTATATAGGCGAGTTCATTGAGTGCAAAATCTTTTTATCTATTTTCTTTACTATATGTAATTTGGACGATAAGCAAGACTCTTATCACGTTGAATTAGAAAGTTTAAATGAACGAATAAATACAAGTTGGTCATTATATGAAATAAATGAGCCGTACGTGCACACAGTACATATCGGCTGTTTTACTCTTTCTTTTTACATACCCTACGCAAATTTCCGTATTTTTTCTATAACGAAAATAGACAAAAACAAGAGAAATTGTGACTTCGTCATTCTATATTAATTTTGATGGCAAGCGAAAATATGCTGCTTGTACAAATAAAAATAACTACAAAAATTTGATTTATTACCTAAGTATTTGTTATGTATAAATAAACATACAGTTAAAATATAAAAATTAATCGAATTAAAGGTAGGTAAAAATGAAAAAAAAAATTTTGCAAATAAATTTATGTTGGTGGCACGTGTAAAAGAAAATAGAATGTACTTAATAACTCCGAAAATATAACCACAAGCATTGCTTATGCAAGCCGGGATTTGTTGTTTTTTTTTGCTTGTTCTTCGTCTATTGGTTTTTCTTAGTACAATCGTGATATTTAAATCAGAAGAAAAATGTTGACAGAAGAGGACGCTTCAAACCGTCTGATAGAAAATTGATTATTTTCATTTCTGCAACAGAAGAGCAAATAGATAAATAATCCTAGAAGATTAGGAATTGGATCCATTGTACGCACTGAAAAAGCTACTTTTATGTATTTAACGTGCAGTTATTGATACTCCTTGAATGCTCAACAAGATTTTTATGAAAAGATAAAAATAGAAATAAATTTATTGAGTCAGTAGATGAGAAGTACACCAGTATAACTTCATTCTTTGTTGTTAGAGATTTGCAACAATTTTTCATATCAGGACTAGAAGAATAACTTGAGTTGAACTCTTTGTTCAAAATTGTGTTCTTTTCAAAATGCCGTCTAAAACATGAGAATAGAACAATTTCCGGTCGAGAAAAATGCTGTGCATTACTAGTGATCAGTACTGATCGCTAGCAATGCACAGCATTTTTCTCGACCGGAAATTGTTCTATTCTCATGTTTTAGACGGCATTTTGAAAAGAACACAATTTTGAACAAAGAGTTCAACTCAAGTTATTCTTCTAATCTCAATAGGAAATGCTGTGGTGAAAAAATTATTTTTTTGTTTTTTAGGTCGTGAACGTGATACAGATTTCTATGCGTTGTACATTCTATAGTATAGTAATAAATCGTCGCAAAAATGGGTTCTAATGAAAAGAAAAAATCGAGCTTCCTGTATCGCGTTCAAATTAGTTATCTTATTTCATAATAATGATAGTCACATATTAAAGTCATACTAAAGGTGCGAAACAAATTATAACTGATTATCAATGTAGATCTTCAAAAAACTAGGCCTTTTAGTATAAATTTATGAAGATAAGAAAACGAAGTCTATTGATAAATAAATACAGATGAATATCTTGCTCAAATAGAAAATCAAACAGTATTTTTTTGGATTGAGGAAATGAAAAATGAACATATGTTTCAAAGATAATTTTTCGACGAGATTTATATAATTCTACATGTTGGCTTTTCAGTACACAATTCAGGCATTTTTATCTACTATTTTGTGAAACATAATCTAAAAAAGTATTGAAATATACAAGTATAAATTAGAACTTATTGCCTCTGTTCCCCACAGATCGTCAGAGGCGTTGTTGATATATGATCAAAGCTCATATATTAATAACGTTTCGTTATAATATATGAACTATTTTCTTCTTGCATTTCTGAAGAATTCAATAAAAGATGATGAAAAAATATTTCCCAAAATAGATAGAAAAACTAATTTTTTCGTCATTGACAACAGCAACTATGTCATATTTTCACATTTTGATCCTACAGGGATTACGCTAATAGGTTTGTTCGTCCTGAAGATAATTTCTATGTCTCAACTACCATTGTTTATATGAAAGTTTTCTCATTACTAAATTATTATTTTGTTCGATAATGAAATTGTTGACTTTTAATTACTTCGATATATTCGATTTCTTGATGCTTTAAATTAGCTCAAAATACTAGATCTTTCAAGGTGAAGTTCGTTAAATACAACAGCATTCATTTTAGCATATACTATTATGGGTGTATCAGTTTCATAATAAATGAAATTAACATCAAATGCTCAAAGATTTCTGATATAATTTTATTTTTAATCCTTCAAACATTTGTTATAGTGACTAAATTTGGCCATAAAAGCATAGTACTTTGTTTTGATATTCTATCAAAAATATTTTTGTTTCATAAGTTTCATATTTCATTTTTGTGAAAAATATTATTGACTAGAATTGACTGATTTTCTTAAAGGATTAGGATATAATTTCCCTATTTTTCTATGAGAGAAATACATCAAGATTATAAAAAATTGTTTAGTTTCATATTTCAAACGAATAATAGTGCACAATAACCTACAAATGTAGATTAAACGATGAATACACTGAAAATTTTTCAACATAACATTCAACTAAATATTTTATTAGTATCTAGAAATAGTTTAAATTCATAAAATTCATCATTATAAAATTACATTTGCTTGTATTTTTTTTATTTCGTTTTGTACTTTTAATGTTTACTCTTAAAATAGATCAATTGCCGTTTATTGTAGATATTATCAAGAGAAATTCACAGAAAAAAAAAAATAAAAATTCCTTTATTTTTCTCATAATCCTTTTCCATTAATGAAAGATAGATACTTTATTAAATGCTCATATTATGACAGTCTGTAACAATTCTCTTGTGACAAGAAATATTATGAAAATTTGATGAACGTATTAACATGAAGCTAATCGAATTTTTGAATCCTTTGCATTAATAGAATTACCAGCACAGAAGACTCGACTGTGAAATAAAAAAGAAAACATGTGTGTTTATTTTTCTTTCCGTATAGTATGGTTTAACAAATTACCTATGTTGATTGTCACCATCGAGTACTGTAGCTTTTGTAAACGTCCATGAAGGTGAATACAATAATGTTGTAAGTAAATTAGCTTTTTTCTTAAAATCAATTTCAACTTGTTGTACTTCACCAATATTAACAGTAAGTGGAATGAAACGAGTTACAAGTGAGTTTCGTGTAAATGTTGTATCTCCACTAAATAATTCATTAATAAATGAACAAACATTAAATAAAAAGCAATGTACTTCTATACATACTCGTCAAAAGTGACAGAAACTGTTTGAAGAGAACCAACAAGTGTAACAGTTACTACACCGCGTGTTTGTGCATAGTCTGAACCCGATTGAAGAGTAATTTGATAATGATTTACTGAAATAGCAAAAACAAAATATATTCATTTTTCATATGTGTTTGTACGAGAAAGAAAATAAGACTTACTGCAATATGGAAAAGCGTTAGCATCTTGAGTTCTCAAAAACAGATCACCTTTGCCACTAGTAGATGAAGCCCAATAACCCATACGGTTACATTGGTGAGTCTTACCATCACATTGCAATGAACATTTACCCGCAGTAAAATCATCAAAGTTACTACATGAATAGCCTACAGAATAATATATATATATATATTTGTATATTAATATTAATCTTGATGATTTACCATCAACATTCATTGTTCNTTTTTTTTTGTAACTGAAGCATAGTCGAATTGTTTCTATTGTCTGTAACCAAACATGATAAATATATCATCGATTTTGATTTAGTGTTCTTATTTAAACACTATCCTAGCAATTTATTTGCTCGTAAATCTATTGATAATAGTATGTTGTTTTTTTGTTTTGAAGAAAACATAATATATATATATGTAGTTTTAATTGTCAACAAATTTTCTTCTGATAAAAAAAAACAGCAGAACTCGATTGGAGAGATAATAGAATCTAAAATAATGGGTAGGTTCCAAATGCGCCCGAAAATTAGGCCAATTAACACCTTAGTGGACGCAATTGGGAATAGAGAAGTTAACGTTGAAATTTTTTTTATTGGTTTCCCAATTGCGCCCACTTTTCTCGAGTAATTAAGAAATTGAAGAGAACACAATATTTATTGAGAAAACAAAACAAAAAAACAATTATTCTTCATCACTACTGTCTTTTGCATCTTTGATAATATGAATATATCGATATGAAACAGCTCGTAAAGTTTTCTGGTAAGTATCGAAATCTTGATCTTCTATTTTGACGTTTTAAGCTATAAAGGTACTTATTATGTAGCACAGCTTTTTCACCTTTTTGGGTTGTTGACCAAGTAACATTCATATTCATTGTTTGATATATAGTATATGATTTTTTTTCTTTCATTATATATAAGCGTTATCAATAGAATAAAACTCATTATCTATTTTTTCAGTAACTAATTAATCAAAGTGGGCGCAATTGGGAAACCAATAAAAAAAATTTCAACGTTAACTTCTCTATTCCCAATTGCGCACACTAAGGTGTTAATTGGCTTAATTTTCGGGCGCATTTGGGAAGCTACGCTAAATTGTTATGTATCATGGTGTCTGAAGTGAAGTAACAAATTAAAGATAGATGAATACATCATAGATTTCCAAACAAGATTCCGTTCTATCTTTTCAACATAGCTTAACTTCTGTCAAAAAAGAAACATTCAAAATAAAAAATACGAAGAAAAAAATTTCGTTTTTCTCCAGCGAAATACAAATCTGATCAACTTTAGGAACCTCGGAACGTTGTCGAATATATTTGAACTAGTCTTATCAATGTTATTAATATGAATGTTTGCATGAAACTAAGATTATTAATTTCCAAAAACAAATGGTGTTTCTTTTTCACTGAATTATGAACATAAAATTTCGTTACATATATATATAGAGGTAAAATGAATACTACTTAAATGTTATCTATGAAAATGAAAAAATAGTATTTTATAGTCCAATCGTATGCAAGGTTATAGATAACGATTTTCATCTACAAATAAAACAACCATACTAGTGCTTATTAATTATATGTATTTAAGAACAGAAAATTTTTCCATTCTTGTTCTACTCCGAATGTTGTATTACATTTTATGATCGTTATATTACTCTTTGTATAATGTCAAATGAGATATATATTGACAAGTATTCTCTCGACACGTTAATCGAGAAGAAACCTATATTTAACATGTTATTTAAATCGACTTCAAGTGACATCTATTCTTTATTAAGACTATTACTCATTCCTATCATTCAAAACAAATATCCTTGAAAAAATAATCAATTAAGAAGATGGAATACTCATAAATCCAATGAAAATAAAGAGGATATGTACATTTATGTAAAATGACCAATTCTGTTCTGTTCTGTTCTTTTTCTTTTTTTTTAACGTCTTTCATTCAGTTTTTTTCACTCTTTTTTTCTTGCCTTTCTATGAGTTATGTATTTATTTTTTCTGTCGTAGTTAAAAATCGTCTTCTTTTACTCTTTTTTTTTTTTCTATCGATTGATCGCTTGTCTTCAATATGATCTCGTTACCGCAGTGATCAATGACAATAGTAAAAGATCTTAAGTAAAGAAAACTAGACAAGTATTTGATCACTTTACACACACACATTACCTACTAATTAATGCAATTAACATCCAATATAGAACTGTGTAAAAGCTGTATGTCTAAAGTGATCAAGTACTAAATCGATATAGCACAGAATAGCTATAACAAAGAGTTATTTTTTTTTCTATCTTTTTTTTTATTTCTCTGTGTTAATAGAAAATTTTTGTCTAATATGTATTGACTTTGTTAACATCCATTTAGACATTTCCCTAAAGATCTAATGTATGCATCACTTTTTCTTTTTTTTTTTTTTTTTGTGATATTTGACGATTGCCTCAAGGTTAAAAAGAAAATGAAACAGAACAATTTTTTTCTTTTCATTCTCTAACCATTATAATATTGCATAAAGGATTAATTTTTTTTTCGTTCTTGTCATACGAGAAGCTTTTTTTCTGCTAGATGTAAATTCACTACTTTTAAGCTCGTCAAAATGCCTGTTCGAAAACAAGGTAAATTATCAATAAAGAAAAATCCGAAAAAATAATCATTTACTTATTATTAGATGCTTATCGAGCATTAGAATTGCTTGAAGAATATTATAATCGTCTGGATTCACCTGCAGATAAACCATTAAAAGATGCTATTGACAGGTAAACAATTTGTTTCCGGATCATTATGAATAAATCTTTAATTTTTAATAGAAAATTAGATTTGTTTTCTTTACTAATAAAGTACAAACAAAAAAGAAAAGAAAAGAAAGAAATTTACACGAATAATATTTTTCTTTTATTTTTCTTTAGAGTTATCAAAGTCTTTAAAAGCCGTCTTTTCCAAGCACTTATGGGTATATATATATACACATGCATATATTTATTATATTAAGAATAGTAAATATTTTTTTTTTGTCTTTTCTTTTAATTCAATTAGATATTCAAGAATTTTATGAATCTATTTTACTTGACGAACAAAGTGATGGTACAGCTAAAATGAATGCAACACATCAATTAGCTGATGAATGGGAAAAACAACCAATGCTTAGACGTGACATACGAGTACAGATTTTTTTTTCTTTTTTGTCATTATATTTAATTAACTAATAATATTTTCTATAGAATGGTCCAACAACAACAATAACTACTACTACTACTAAAGAACCACCACCAATAATATCATCAATTGTAACCGATAATCCAGTAATACGTCCATCTAATATTAAAGAAGATATTATACGACAACCAACACCAACACCATTTTCTCAAATAACTAATGTGCCAGATACAACTAATCGTCAAAATACAACAGATTTAAATTTACCTACTGATCTAACAGAACTTAATTATAATGATCATTGGAGAGAAATTAAAATTGATCTTCAACGAGTAAATATTAAAGAAAAAAAATACTTCTTTTTTCTTTATATATTGAAATTTTTATTTTAATTAGGTATCTGGCAAAGGTTTAGGATTTTCAATAGCTGGTGGTACAGATACACCGTGTATTAATGATTCTCCAGCAGTTGTTATCACACGTATTACTGAAGGTGGTCTTGCTGATATAGATCATCGATTGAAGTAAGATTAAACTAGTTCTTCTTTTTCTTATTCGTCTTCTTGATTTTCTTATTAGACTTCATGATATAATTTTAAGTGTTAATGATATTGATTTTACTCATATTGAACATCAAGTAGCCGTTGACACACTTAAATCAGCTGAAAGTCCAGTTATTTTAGTAGGCTTCATATGCAAAAAAAAAATATTCCTGAATGAATTTATGTCTGTTTGTCTAGATAATTCGTCGTTTAGAACCACCGATTGTCGAAGAAATTATATTAGAAAAACCATCTAATGTTCATTTAGGTTTTTCAATCGCTGGTGGAATTAGTCACGAACATGTTAAAGGGTTTGTTTTATTAAAAATAATCAAAAAATAAATTCTTTTTTTTCTAAATATTTTAGTGATTATGGTATATTTATAACAAATATAATTCCAGGTGGTATTGCCGATAAAAATGGACGATTAATAGTCGGTGATCGTTTAATGAGTGTACAATCAATGGTACCAAAAATAATTTTATTTTTTTTTTTTTTGGTCTTTGAATAAATTTCTTTTCTATATAGAAAAATACGTATGATCTTGAATTTGTTGAACATAAACATGCTGTTGACACTATTCGACGTGCATGTGATGAAGGTCAAAAACTAACTTTAATAGTTGGCCATCCAACTGTTTATTCGTTACATACACAACTTCAACCAACTAATACTTCTATTCAAAATCAATTAATATCAAAAAACGAAACAAATGGACATCGATTAATGAATAATGATGAACAAGAAGAAATTTCTTCGTAAGTTAGAAATACATTAATGATTTTTCATATTGAATTGGCATTAAAATTTGTCTGTTTTATATGAAAGGAGAAAATAAGTTGATAATTGTTTAGTCTTTCTTTGTATTCTGCTAGAAGGATTTTATTTGATTATTACTATGAATTTACGGATTCGTTTTTATATAAAATTAATTTCTTTTCGGAAGAAAAATTTTATATTAATTTAATGTAAAATACTTGTCAGTCTATCAGTCTCATTACACTTTACGGATACTAATCCTAATATATGTCTATATTGAGTATGATGAATTGAGAAAATGTGAGAATATGTTGTTATTAACTTTTAGGAAATCCCTATGGAGAAAAGACTTCATATATATTAATTTTATTATACTTATTTAGTGAACGTCATGTATTACTTCGACGTGGTCCAAATGGTTTTGGCTTCAATATTATTAGTTCTGAAGGTGTACCAGGTACTTTATTATTTCTATTGTTATTCATGACTTTTTTTTTATATTGAAAATATTTTCTTATAAAAGGTACATTTATATCGTTTATTCAATCTGGTGGTGTAGCTGATAAATCTGGACAATTACGTAAAGGTGATCGAATATTATCTGTAAACGGTATGGATTTACAAGGAGCTAATCATGATGAGATTGGAAAAATACTTATCGGCTGTGGTGATACAGCGAATATACATGTTATTCACAAATATAATGGTTAATTAATTTTTTGTTTTTGTTTTTTCAAATTTAATCATTTGTATTTTTTTTGATTTTTATAGATTTTCTTCAATGTCAAGTTCGCAATGATGAACGTCGTAATAAAGTAACAAGTGAAGCAGCTAGCAGTACAGTTAATTTAAAGACTTCAACACTAAAACAATTTTTTGTTCGGTAACATTTGTTAATTTTATATTGCGAAAAAAAAAAAAAAACTTCTTTTATTCTCTAGAGCGGAATTTGATTATGATCCAACAAGAGACCCAAGTTTACCAAGTGGTCCTGGTTTAACATTTCGTACAGGTGATATTCTTCATGTAATCAATGCTGTTGATGATTCTTGGTGGCAAGCAAAACGTGTTACTGATGGTAGAGAAGAAACAGGAATAATTCCATCAAAATCGAGAGTAGAAAAAAAAGAACGAGCTAGACAAAAGCGTGTGAATTTCAATCAGGTTAGTAATTGAATAAGCTTGAGAAGAAAAAAATAGATGTCTTTTTCATTTATTTGATTTTATTAAGAGTAATACATCGGATCATGAGAAAAAGAAAAAGAAAAAAATTGGCTTATTTACTAAAACGGGTGATAAAAAAGATTTACAATCAGGTGAAGACACTGAAAATGAATCAGAAAATTTAGAACCTGTACCGTCATATGAATTGATTACTCAACATAAAAGTAAGTAGCTTGTCTTATTTGATATTTCTATTATGATATAAATCAAAGATCTAGAGAATATAGAATATCAAATTCAAAATTATGCCCAAATCAATCATAGAAATATACTATTTCAACAAAAGATATTCAATATACATTTTTCTATGGATTCAAAGTCTTTGATTCGAAACCCAATTCTGACTCAAAAACATCATCCTTTTATAGTTCTAGTCTCAGCTCAGACACCGAAAAACAATTTTTACGGTTTCTAGTTCGTTAGTATTTTCTGTTTCATTCTAGTTTCGACTTCGAAAAATCTTCTGATATCAAGAATAAATTTTTTAGGAAAAAGAAAATAGCAAGTTTGAATTCTAAAAGGGTCAACCAATTTTTGAAAAACCATAATACATTAAAACAATCATTAATAATAAGAATAGACAACGAACTATATCAATATTGTCTGAAATCATAACATCTGAAAAATTGATTTGTCCAATTTCTAAATAAAAATGACATGATATCCAAGATCATATTTGTTACTCAGATAATCTATGAAAAGTTTTAGATTGAGTAAATTTAGCGTTTTTTGTTCGATTTATTAATGTTAATATCACTCTAATGCAGAAATGCCTCCGTAAAAAAAAGGGAAAATTTTCCCGAACGGAAAAATAATGCGAAGAATTTTCATAAAGTCATTGTTTTCAAACAAACATTCCTAGACAATAATATTCAGAAAATGTTTCTCCAAACACACCAGTTTTTCGAAAACATCTCTCGACTGAGACAAAATTTCCTTAAACGTGCGTTCTAGTATGCTGGCAGATTTTATACCTCTGATAGAAAAGTTGAGATGTTAAAATCTCAAAAACAAGAAATATCGAAAGTTAAATTGTCGAAATATCGGATATAGGTATTGGTATGGGTGCTTGTAGATTTGAATATTAGACTCTTCTCGTCATCAACACTGACATTCTTGACGTCTTAATGAGTTAGTATATTTATCTTTCGACACTTTTATCTATTGACATCTTATTTTTCCACATTTTTACTTACAATGTTTTTATCGATCGACATTTTAATCTTTTGACATTTTTAGCTTTTTTCTTCGACATTTTTCTTTTCGACCTAAATAGGTTTTATAGAATGATTGACTTCCTCCAAATGTCGTGAATCCTATCTTATCAGCAGTTGTCCCGTCCTCTCTTCCTAACCTTGAGGGTCTCGGAACACTCCTGCTCTGATATTATTTTTTTCCTTGAAACTCATTCATGACGTTAAAAAGTAGTATCTTTTTGTTGACTACTTAACATATGAGCAACCGAAATGTTACTTGATGAAATTACAAACAAAAAACTCTTTTCAATCACTCCAAACTCAAGTCCATCAGAGTCGAGTTTCCGGGTTCTATATAGAGCGCTACTCATGTCTCTCAGTATTCTACTTTAAGAGGAATTAACATTGAACAGGAGATGGAAAATCCAAAACAATGGTTTTCGACAGCTGCAGAGTATTTTTCTGATAATTTATAGTTAAGTACTTTTGATTGAACAATCACTAATCAAGATTATATATTGAGCAAAGAGTTTTCTTTTGAGTTTTTCTAACAGTGACTTTATGCGAATAAATAGATTAATAAAATAAAAATAAATTAGAAATGTCGCCGATCAAAAACAGAGGCAGATCACATTGTTAATATATTTCATTATTTTTTTATTTTAGTTGATTATTCACGACCACTTATTATATTTGGACCATTTAAAGAAATTATTAATGATCAACTGATAAGTGATCATCCAGATAAATTTGCTAATTGTATACCACGTATGCATTTATATATATACATAATTGTTTCAATAATTAATAAACGATTTCTTATAGATACAACACGACCAAAACGCGACAAAGAAGTTGAAGGTCGAGAATATCATTTTGTTGCAAATCGTAAACAAATGGAAGATGATATTCAAAATTATTTATTTATTGAAGCTGGAGAATATGGAGGAAATTTATATGGTACAAGTATTAATGCTGTTCGTGACGTAGCTTATTCTGTATGTATTTGTTTAAAATAAAACATAATCCATGGACATATTTTATAGTCAAAACATTGTATCTTGGATGTAAGTGGTCGTGCTATTAAACGTTTAATTAGAGCTGGTCTTTATCCAATTGTTATATATGTTAAACCACGTGATATTAAATGGATATTGTAAGTAAAAATGTTATGTATGATATTAGTTTTATTGATTTGTTTAAGGAATAACATGGGAGAAGAAGCAAACGAAGACCGAGCTAAGCAAATCTATGAGAAATGTAATGATATTGAAGAACACTTTGGTGATCTTTTTACAGGTAAAGAATTTATACTTAATATTAAATCTTATTTAATAAGAAATATAAAAATTTGTTATTTTTATTTTTGTTTATTATAGTTACTATTGAAGAAGAAAATTTAAGTGATGTTTATGATCGTATATGTGAGGTCATGGATCATGAAAATACAGTTAAGTCTGTTTGGATACCAACAGAAGAAAAAATTTAAAAAAAGAAAAGTATTTGTATTTTTTTATACGAATTTCTATTCTTAATTTTAAAATGTGTTATTAAGAAATATTCTTTTCTTTTGGTCACTAATCAAATTTATTATTTTTTTTTGTTTTGCGTAGACGTTGATGATATTCTTACCTTTTTTCTTTTTTGTTTTTTTCTTATCTTGATTTGTCTGCACTGTGTATGTTTATTCTTATAGTATTTTTTGTCGAACTTGTTTTGGGAAAAACATAAGAAAATGCAAGGATGTGCTTTTGTTTTTCTTTTGTTTCTGTGTGTTGAGAGCTAATATCAACGTAACGATTAGACTATCTTCAACACGTTTTTTTTTTCTTTTGTAAAAATAAAGTTTTGAATGAAGTTTTTATTTTCTGGGAACATACGATGAAAAAAATGAATATTGAACAATATGTAATGATTTATTTGGTTAAAAAAAATATATAGATTGGATATAGATTATTTTTGTAATTTATTTTCTTTTTTCAACAATAATTAATATTGGAAGATATTCATCAATAAATTATTATCCTCATGACCAGAGTCCCCAAATTACATGTTTATGCATGTACGAAATACTCATATTGATGTGATAAAAATTGAAACTAAAATTTTTTTTTTATATGGATGAATATATAATCAAAATTTATATTTAATTGAAAGTTTTTTCCGTACAAGCCATGTGAACAAAATTATACAATATATAATCTGTAACTTTTGTATGGTCGAATTAAGAGTATCAACTTTTTTTTTTGGTAGATATTGTATTGCGAGTTAAGTTTATATTAGACTTTAGATTTTTACTTATTAAGTTTTGAGTAATCATATAATGAATTAATAATTTCTATCAAGACTTAGACAATCGAATGAACACTGAATAGTGATAAAAGAATAAGAAAATATTTGTTTTGAATTAGAAAATGTATTTAGGTTAATTGATTAAACATGCACTTGAAAAAAATCAAAAAACATTGACTGATATGATTATGGACAAATATCTACTGGTTATGTAATACATATATATATGAATCTTTTTGTTGGGGGTATGTCCTTGATATAACAACTCAAGTTAGTTCTATCTGCAATTTATCATCATAATGAATAAGAAACTGGTCAAAACTGAATGCATAAATATTTAACAACATAGGACAACAAAAAATAATTTCTTAGCGAGAAATAAAATTAAAAAACTACTACATTATGTTGAAAATATTTAAAATAAATTGTTTTTTTTTTTTTATTCAGCCCAATATAAATAATTATTCATCGAAGAGATGAATATTTTAGAGTGCACTCTGGTGAAACTTGCGAACAATGCTAAGTATATATTTCTCTTTTTTTTTTCTTTCTTTAACCTCTCAATTTTATCAATACATATACAAATATAAGCTCTTCATTCAATTTTCAAATCTAAAAATTTATATTTCATCATTTTATACTTTACACTAGTAGAACATTTATCGATAGAATTTCTTTTATCGAACTATATTTAATTTGTTACTTTTGTCTCTGTTACTAATCAAATTTATATATATATAAAACAATGTAAAAAAAAACATGTAGAAATTGAAACACTTGACATTGTCTCTGTATTTTTATAATGGAATCAAAAGTTATTTTGTTTACATTTTGTTTTTATTCGACAATTCTCATTCATGATTTTTTTCTTGTATGTGACAATATACAAACACGGCACGCCGTCGTAATAAGCGTAAAACGTCACCCGTGCATCGGCTCGGTTTGACACATAATCGAGAAGGAGTGCCAAAATTTAATCGAGAAAATACTGAACAATTTTTTGCTACAGTTACAAGAAAAAATTCAACGGTATTATCAACATCATTACCTATTTTTTCAACTGAATTTGAACAAGATGATCAACAAAAACAAAATTATGATGAAGACCAAAGAGACGAGAGTCCATCAACAAAACCAATAACACCAAACATAGTTCTACCACCTATCCAAACAGCAACTAGCAGAAAATCAAAAACTATGCCATCTGCTTCTGTTTGCGTTCGTCAACCAACTTTCCATTCACCTATACCATCTTCTGAATTATCATTAGAATCAGCATCGCCAATAATAAAAGCACCAACACCAATTATATTACCAAAACATCGATTACAACATAGTGGTCCGGTTGATCAAGATATTTTTCGAAAAGCTTATGAACGAGCATTATCAGTTGCACGTAGTCGTCTTCTATTTCGTGATCCATATTCATTAACACGAGCAAATGCTACACATGGTGTTCTCTATTCATATTATGATCATACGCCAATGTGTATATTTTCTCGTGGAGTTGCTTGTAATCATCATCAAGATACAACATCTAAACAAGACCAAAAATTAAAAACAAATATAATACGAAAAAAAATTTTTAATGATGTTGTTGTAGAACATTATATTCGATAAAAACGAAAAAGTCTGACGTCCGCATTGGAATTAAATAGGGCAAAGTATAATCTCAAAAACTCATCCAACGACAACAGTTGACGACTTGCGGTTTTCAGTAATTGAAAGAGTAGAACTTCAAATGTCCTTTTATCTAATACCAAATAACACAAAATTATTTTAAACGCTCATCATATTTGCGAAAAACATTCAAAAAAAAATTGCATGAAAATGGTGTTGTATTTCGATGTAATTTTTAAAATTTAACATGTGTTTCAGACAGAAGAACTTTAAATCTATAGTTTAGATATTTAATATAGATTATTTTTTTTATATTATTTGAAATTTTATTTAGTGACATTTCCTCAACAATATTGACCTCATCAGTATATTTTTGGTATAAAATGATATGTAAGATAAAATAGTAAGTACGTTTTTATCCACGTCAACATATTTTCACTATTCTATAGATAGTAGCACGAACAAAACATTGATCCTCGATGAAAGTTTTTCTTTTTGGACTTTTCTACGTTCGTTCCAGTATCAATAGAATAGAAAGAATGTGTTTATATTCATAAAAATCTACTTGTTATTATATCTTATATGTTATTTTACACCCACACTAGTCTGATGAAGTCAACATCGTTGAAGAAACATCATTAAGTAAAATTTTATTCAATAGAAAGAGAAAAATAATCTATATTATTAAATATCTAAATTAAAATGTCCTTCCTTACAAGTCAAAATTTCAGATCTATAGTTCAAAGTATGATTTAGGTAATTATTTTCTCATAGCTCAAAGCATAGCAAACAAAATTACATATCTATTTGGTCAAATGACATCAAATTTGGCTAATTTTTAGCAAATTTTCTGAACTTTTTATCAAACTTTTCCTAAATCAAAACATCGTTTTCATGCATTTTTTACTTGAATTTTACGAAAAGATCATGAGTGTACAAAATAATTTTGTCGTATTTGGTATCAGACAAAACGACGTCTGGAATTCTCCTCTTTAATATTTCTGAAGGCCGCAGGTCGCTAACTGTTGTCGTTGCCGAGTTATTGGATTTACACCCCCTCTTTAACCCAATTCTGGCGTTGATATTAATTTAATTTAATTTTTTCAAATAAATTAAATATGAATACTTATTATTACTGAATTTCTTTTGCATCTATTAATACACTATGATACAATTACCTTACCACAAATATTCCACATTATCTTGACGAAGTTTTCATTGATAAAACATGTTAGAAAGGACAAAGAACTAAATATAGAAGACATACACTATAAGCTCTTCAGATCGAGTCTGTTGATTCTTGTGCTTGTCTTTCATCGAGATTTCTTTTCTTTAATAAGAACACCAAGCAAAGATTTTCTACATCTATACTACTGTTGATTTGACGTTTCCTATTGATTTTCTTCTCTTATTTAGTAACTATAAGAGAAACGACGTGTATATTTCATCTTCCTTATTAATCAATCGGGTACATATACATACAGTACATAACATTTGGCTATCATCTTCATTCCAACTCATTTAACTCTTCTTTGTCTAATTGGGTAAGTAGGAGGATAAAAAGGTTATTGACACAAATAAAGAGAAAAAGAAGAAAGAAAAGTCAAACCACATACAGAGTTAAATGAAGATCTATTACGCTAATTTCACGTATACGTATTATTAATATATATATATATATATATTTTTGGTAATAGAGTTGATAATGATGGTGAAAAGGGAGAATATTATTCTCTATTTTCCTCGATTTTTTTTCTACTGACTTCATCCAGAAGCTTCTGTTGTCAGTTCTTGTTCTATTAATACTGATGTCTTGCTATCAATCGTCATTTATTGTCGCACACGATACAAGGCATAAACAGAACGTCATCGTCAAAGTGTAGTTTGTCTTTCATAGCTTCAGCTATTGGTATGACAATCATAGACCTAGTGTCAGTTATATTGTTATTTGATGAAATAAGAATATAAAAACAACATGATGCTTTTTTTCTATACAATAATAATCGGTTTTTTCACTTTAATCAAATATGGTAAGATTAAATTTTGTCTTTATATATGTAAGAAGATATATTTTTTTTTTGAATGTATAGAAGTAAATGGAAATGCTGATGCTAAACGTCTTTTAAATGAACTTATGAAAGATTATAATAGATATGTTTTACCTGTTGAATCAATAAATGAAAAAGTTAATGTGACATTAGGTTTAAAATTATCACAATTATCTGATATTGATGAACGAAATCAAATCATGACAACAAATGTTTGGCTTGAACATGTAAAATTTCATTTAGAAAAAAAAAGCGACAGTTTCAATGTTTTTTATTTTGTAAACTTTAGGAATGGACTGATTATAAATTAACATGGATACCTAGTCAATATGGTGGAATTGAGGTTGTTGAAATTCCATCATCTCATATTTGGGTACCAGATGTTGTTCTATATAATAATGCAGATGGAACCTATGAAGTTAATACAATAACTAAAGCTCATGTTGTGAGTATTTATTTATTTATTTATTTTTTTTTTTTTGAAATAATTTTTATTAATACTAAATGTGTACTTAAGTATTGGAATGGAACAATTAAATGGAATCCTCCTGTTATATATAAATCTTATTGTGCTATTGATATTGAATATTATCCATTTGATGAACAAAACTGTGCTCTTAAATTTGGTACATGGACACATAATGGAAATTTAGTAAGATTTTTATTATGAAGATAAAATAAAGGAAAATGAAAATCATCTTTTTGTCTGTTATTTTGCTTATGAAAGGTTGATCTTCATCATAAATCAGGACAAGTTGTTGTTGATGTAGGTGTTGATCTTTCTGATTATTATCCATCGATTGAATGGGATATTCTTGGTGCTGTAAGTAATTTTATTATTTTTCATCCTTAGTTTAAAAATTGATGATTGTATTTTATTTTGTTTATTTTAATCTCGTAAGATTTAAATGAAACAAATAAAATAAATATCAATATTCAGAAGATTTCAAATAACTTTCTTAAGCTCTCATGAGATTGAAAATAAGATTGTTATTTTCTCACATGACAAATCTAACGTGTTATCTCTAGTCGAGTTAGGCACATTCGAAATCAGATAGCAAAGTGATGATTTGATATGATACAAAACGATAAGATAAGAAAGTTAAGCCACATTCAGTTCTTTTTTATAATTATTAATCGTTGTATCTACGAAATGTAATTTACATTGTTACAATAAGACTTTATTCGAAAGATCATGTTTGTCTTTTTTCCTAAAGTATTAGTTTTAATCATTCATCAAAGTAATAGATAACATTAATAGATACTTAGAAAGCACTTAGTGATAAGTAATGATGCAGCTATCATAAAAATAATGACAAATATTTCTTTTCTTATTTTTTTAGAGTTTACAACCGATTAAAAACTGTTGGTTTTATTTTTCTTAACTAGTTATTTTCATTGAATTTTCTGATAAGCATTAGCATATTGATAAGTGCATTTGTTAAGATGAAATATTTTGTAGTGAACAAATTTCTTTTAAAGAAAACTTCTTGAATATCTTTATTACATTCATTGTTAGTGATTGGCCTAATCATTGAATTCAATAGGGTAATTATCCATACTAAGTTTCTACATGATCGATAACTATTGTTTTGATAGAGCATTATAGCCTTCCGGAAAGCTAAATTGGTGTTTTTCTTTCTGTCTCTATATTTGATCCCTTTAGTGTATCATCATTCGTTTGTTTTTCTTTATCATGAATTCTGACTCTGACCCTGAATTGTCATTAATTACTCAACATACGATCAGATTACATTTTGTTCTCTAAATATTCATTGATTGAGAGAGTATATTACGTATCAAGAACAGATTACTTTTTTTTTCGTATTATCTTAATGAATCAATAAAAGTATCCATCAACGACTAATTATGTTTATCTCTTGTTGTTATGTTCTTTTAGCCTGCTGTTCGTCATGTTGTTTTATATGATTGCTGTAAAGATGATCCATATTTAGATGTAACGTTTGCATTACGTATTCGACGTAAACCACTTTTCTATCTGGTTAATCTTGTTATTCCTTGTATAAATATTGCTTTTCTTACAATTCTTGTGTTTTATTTACCTAGTAAGAAATAAATAAATTATTATTGACAACAATACAATAAAATAATCAAAATCTATTTTTTTTTAGGTGATTGTGGTGAAAAATTAACATTATCAATATCAATTTTTGTCGCACTTCAAGTTTTTTATCTTCTTTTAGTTGATCTTATACCACCAACATCATTGAAACTTTCTTTACTTGGTACATATTTACTTTTTACATTAGTACTTGTTAATGCATCTATATTCATAACAATAATAACATTAAATATTCATTGGCGTCATCCAAATACTCATCATATGCCTGACTGGGTAAAACGATGGTTTTTTGAAATAATTCCACCGTTTATATTCATGTCTAAACCTCATATTGCTAGTGCTTTATTACGACAAAGGCAAAATAATTATGATAAAGAATCAGCATTATCACAATATGGTGATAATATACATAGATTAAGTAATTATTTAAAATCACTATCCATTGATAGATATCCACCAATAATTCAACAAGCAATAAGAGATATTCGATATATAAGTGAAGTACAACGTGAAACAGAACAAGATAATTTGGTTTGTTCAAAAACAAAAAAATTATCTATATTTATTTTTTAACTTTTATTTTTATAGGAAAGAGAAGGTTGGCGATTTATTGCACTTGTTATTGATCGGTGTTCTTTAATAGTATTTATTTTTTTAACAATAATTGGTACATGTGTCACATTACTATCGGCTCCGTCCATACATAATAAAGTCGATCCAATTGAACGACAATATTCGCACCATTATAATTTACATTCAAGTTAATTCTTCTTCTTCTATTTTGTCTTTTAATCATTTTTCAATTATTTATGTTGTTTGATATCATATAAAAATAGTCTTGTTTTTATACGAAGTAATTATTTGTTTGT